AGCAGGCGCCCGGTGCAGGGGCGGCGGGCTGTAAATCAGGCTCTGGGTCCAAACAGACTTTCCCTACAGCCGTGCTGACTGAGAAATCTAAACTGGTCCCCCCTCGTAAATCAGGCCCTTAGAGGGTTCTTCTCTCATCACCACCAAAGTGATGCTGTGCCCTTTCAGTGCCTCTTAGGGCAGGTACCTGGTATCTGTGTGTTTCATCGCTGGTGACGTTGACTTCCATCCTGAATAAAGTTACCACTTTCCTATTGTAACCAAGTACCTATGAGACCATGCAAATATCATGGTCCCTATCATACTTTGCCTCTAATTTTCGTATCCATTGCTGGTTCTTGCCTGCAATGCACAGCAAACTGAAAAGTTTCCTAAAGAGGGATAATTTTGCATTTAGGACAGAGCACATTTATTTTTTTGGTACACTGGTACACTGATGCAAACCTTTCATTAGGTGCCAGCACCTACTAGCTGTATATATGGTAAAGCCTATTTTAAAATTATACATTGGTGCACTTCATTGCATGATGTTGGTGAAATTTCGCCTCACAAATACACTGTGTGTTTATTAAGATTGTTCTTTTTGGGGTGCCTGGGTGGCTCAGTCGGTTGAGCATCTGGCTTCAGTTCAAGTCATGATCTCATGGTTCATGGGTTCGAGCCCCGCGTCAGGCTCTGTGCTGACGGCTCAGACTCTGTCGGATTCTGCGTCTCCCTCTCTCTCTCTGCCCCTCCCCTGCTCGTGCTCTGTCTCCCTCTGTCTTTCAAAATTGAATGCTAAAAATTTTCTTTAAAAATTGTCCTTTTCTTCAGGTTTGGCTGTCTCCTGCCTTCTGTCTGGATAGCGCATGGATGTGCGACTTCATTGACCAACCTTGTCTTGTTCATTGCGTCACTGTTTATCAATGGGACCTAAACAGCGGGTGGAAAAGCGCATTCTGGTTCTAAAGCCAGTTTCTAAAATATTTCCCAAATTTTTTCATGGAAATATCCAAAAATAGAGACAGTTGGAAAAATACAGCACCACACACCTGTACTCCTGACCCCTCCTTTGCCAATGTCAGCCTTTGTTAACATTTTGCCACGTTTGTTTATGTACTGCGCATGCTTATTTATTTATTGAATTAACTTCCAGATATTGCGACACTTCACTATGGTTCATGGCCCAAATCCATCACACCACCTGTTTTTGTTTTTGTTTTGTTTTTTTTTAAGTAAGCTCTATGCCCAACGTGGGGCTCAAACTCACAACCCCAAGATCAAGAGTCACACGCTCCACTGACTGAGCCAGCCAGGCACCCCACGTATCACCTGGTTTTGAAAATAAAGTTTTATTGGAACACAGCCATGCTCATCATTTACATGTTGCCTATGGCTGCTTTTGCACCACAGTAGCAGTGGTCTGGCCCATAATTCTGAAAATATTTACCATCTTACAACTGTGTAGAAAAGAGTTGACTTGGGGCGCCTGGGTGGCGCAGTCGGTTAGGCGTCCGACTTCAGCCAGGTCACGATCTCGCGGTCCGTGAGTTCGAGCCCCGCGTCGGGCTCTGGGCTGATGGCTCAGAGCCTGGAGCCTGTTTCCCATTCTGTGTCTCCCTCTCTCTCTGCACCTCCCCCGTTCATGCTCTGTCTCTCTCTGTCCCAAAAATAAACGTTGAAAGAAAAAATTAAAAAAAAAAAAAAAGAAAAGAGTTGACTTAAGTCTTGACTGCTTTCCTTAGAACCTCCTGCTCATACACGGTTGGCTGCTGTCTGGGAACGTGGATGTCAAGAGGGTTCCTACCACCTTGTGATGAGAGTGCCTCACTGGGCCAAAACCATTTGTATCAACGATGGGCTCATTGACCTTAAAAATAAAACCATTATGTCAGCTAAAATGGGTTTATTCAGGAATAGCAGAGATTTACAACCGGGAACAAGCAAGCTACTAAAAACCCCACACGCTAGTCCAACAGAGGAGAGAAACTTTATTTCATGGGGAAGAAGGAGGAAATGGGAAGGGGCTGTTTTGAACAAAGGTCCATTGGAGAAAAGCCCACGTTCATGGTGATGGTGATTTCTCATTAGCTGAATCGCACAGGTGGCCAATTCCTGGTGGGAGATAATGCAAGTACATCTTCTCCTGTCGGGTCCGTAACTGACGGCTGTTCCTGTACTCGAAGTTGAGTGGTAGGGATCCCCCTTCTGGCTTCACGACTCCATTTGAGTGAGGTTTCCCTTTGCTAATTTTCACAGGCTGACGCTGAACACTTGCTCTCCCTCTGGGAGTCGGAATTTTGGTACAAGCCAGGCAGAGGGTTCCCATGTGATTAGCCCCTGGAAAAGCCTTGGGTGCTGATCTCTGACCAGCTCCCTGGTAGATGACATCTCCTGTGTGTGTCACAGCTCTTTGCTGGGGAATTAAGTGACTTCTGTGTGACCCCACTGAGAAAAGCTTCTGGAAGCTTCCTCCTTGACTCACTTCACAAGCCTTTTCCCTGTGCTGATTTTGCTTTATATCCGTTTGCCATAATAAGTCATAGCCATGAATCCTCCTAGCAAATCAGGGAATCTGGGGGTAGTCTTGGGGCCCCTGGACACATAGCCCTTTAAAGAAAAAAGCTGCTGATGGGGTGCCTGGGTGACTCAGTCGGTTAAGCGTCTGACTTCGGCTCAGGTCATGATCTCATGGTCTGTGGGTTTAAGCCCGGCCATCAGGCTCTGTGCTGACAGCTCAGAAACTGAAGCCTGCTTCGGATTCTGTGTCTCCCTCTCTCTCCGCACCTCCCCCACTCACGCTCTGTCTCTCTTTCAAAAATAAATAAACATTAAAAAAAAAAAAAAAGAAAAAACCTGCTGAACCCCATTCTACATAAACACCAGTCACACCTGGAAAAAGAAACAATTATTCTGTACTATAATCTAACATCTAGTCTGTATGCACGCTGTCCCAATTGTTTCCCAAATGACCTTTTAACTTTTTCTTTGAACCAGGATCCAATCAAGATTTGTATGTTTCACTCCCCCATCCTTTATACATTCATTCATTCATTCATTCCTTGTTTATGACATTAACTTTGTGAAGAGATCAGGGCAGCTGCCCGCAAACTGTCCCAGACCCGGGTTCACGATTGTTTTCTCGTGCACTGTGGATGGCCTTCCTCTGTGTCCTGAAAGCAGGGGTGCAGACCTAAAGGCTGGGCAAGGTTCAGGCTGGACTGAGCCGCAAGTGATGCTGGTGTTAGCGAGCCCTCTTGCTCAACTGTAGTGGCCAACAGTTATTTCTTACTACACTCTCTTGAGACATTGACAATGACCAAACCATCGTTAACGCCTGACCAGAAAAGTCCTAATAGCAACAGAATGCTTGTAGAGGACCGCATGCAGCACGTCCCCTTCCCTGCCCATGACCAGGGGCTGAGCACATACCGAACCCCACCTGTGATTATGCACTCTCTGCCTGCTCTCTTGCACGTACCCCCTGAACCTCTCTCGAGAAAACTCTAGGTGTCCATCTTGCCAACAGTGGAGAGGTGGGTTGGTGAAGCTCGAGCCTGCTGCGTCCCCTGGTTGCCGGCACCCAGAGTAAATTTCTACCTTTCTCTTTTCCAAACCCTCCTCTCTTGAGTGCTTGGCTTCCCTTGCAAGATGTTTATCCACGTTTGTTCGACAACACTGTTGGCAAACCCGGCCCTGAGCTGTGTTTCCACTTGTGCAGGCTCCTCGATTCCTGGGAGGGAGCAGTTGACCGGGCAGCGCCAGGGCTCCCCTTCCTTCTCTGAGTTACTGGCTGTGATAGACCCTTTGGCAACACTGGTACACGGTGCCCCGGTGGTGCCAGACATTTGGGGTGCGGCTGACACCCCCCTCCCCGTGACATCTTTTCCCCTCCGTTGTTGCATTTTCGGATGACCTTCGCCTGCACCAACCGTTCATTGGGGGCTTCACAGGGGTCTGCCTCCAATTTGACCACTCCTGTGCTTGCTCTCTGGCATCCTTCGCCCACTGGCGGGGTTGATGCATCCACACGACTCCTGAAACAGAATGCTACGGGCACCAGTGACAGTCACAACAAAGTTTATTACAATGAGAGGCAAGGCCGACCGATCGGGACCAACACGCTTGATAAGAGTGCAGCCCGGAACAGCCGGGGTACAGAGTTTTTATAACCGACCACATCGTTTTATCATCACCTGGGAACAGAACAAAGAAAGTTTCCAGATGAGTCAGAAACAGTTGCCAGATGAGTTAGAAACAGTTGCCTAATGAGGTGTTTATTTTAGACTTTCTGCCTCTAAGTTGCAACCAGTGCGTCTCCTTGACCCTGCCTCTGATGCTCTTTTCTTTGAACTTTTGTTTCCTTAATTGGTGAGGCCTAATTTACAAGAGTATGAAGCTAGTTTACAAGAGCAAAGCAAGGCTGTTCTCTCTTAACCTTCAGTGTCAACACAAAGCTGTTATTTTTCAAGCTAAGCGTTAGCCCTACACTACAATTTAACCCTTACAGGGTGAACTACAGCCCCCCCAAAGACTGGCACACGCTTAACGACCTCTTCCTCTTTTCTTTTTTTTTAAGTTATGTATTTATTTAGAGAGGGAGACAGAGCCCACGCGCGCGCAAGCAGGGGAGGGGCAGAGAGAGAGAGAGAGAGAGAGAGAGAGAGAGAGAGAGAGAGAGAAAGGCAGAGAACTGCAAGCCGACTCCGCACTGCCAGCATGGCGCCCCACGCAGGGCTCGACCTCACCCACGGTGAGATCACGACCTGAGCCTAGATGAAGACTCCTGACACTGACCCCGACCAAGCCACCCAGGCGCCCCATAATGGTCTCTTTTTAACCCCGAGTGTCCAGGGGCAACGGCCACCCGCAGAACCAGCGAAGCGGCATCCCGGAGCCGCCGCTAGGCGGCGGGAGCTCACGCCCCGAGGGAGGCCCGCGCGGCCGGGAGGCGTCACTCACGCGCGCCGAGAGAGACTGGCGGGGCCGATGACGTCACGCGCACGCCCCAGAGAGGCCGGCGCGGTCCTGTGACGTCACGCGCGCGCGCGCCCCGGCGAAGCGAAGTGGTCGTCGGCGCCCGAGGGTCCGGGGCGTTCGCCATGGGCCCGCGCGTGCCGCTCCCCCCGGAGATCCAGCTGGCCCAGCGCCTGGCCGGGAACGAGCAGGTGACCCGGGACCGGGCGGTGAAGAGGCTCCGGAAATACATCGTCGCCAGGACTCAGCGGGCCGCAGGTTGGCGTGGGCTGGCGGGGCGTGGGCGCCCTGCGGGGGTGGGACCGCGGCGGGGGTCGCGGGGCGGCCGGAGGCCTGCGGAGGCGCGGGGCCGGGTGGGACCTCCGAACCACGCGGGACCTCCACGTGGCCGGGCCGGCGCGACTTCCGTGTGGTGCAGGCCCCCCTGTCCTGCCCGGCGAGCTCTCGCCCTGCGCCCCTCCCCTCTCCGGCCCCTTGCGGCTCCTCCAGGTGGTGGTGGTGACCACGTGTCCCTCTTCGTGGACACCCCCCCCCCCCCCCCA